TTCATCTGGCAACTCTGTGCATGCGCACACTGGGAACAGGCTCCAGCTGTTTGTCTGCCTCACTGATATTTGATCTGAAGGCAGCTGATAACTGACGTATGGCTCTGGCCCCCTCTCTGCCTCTGACACAGAGCCCTCATCAGAGCCTTCCCCAGACTCCAGGACTGATCCATGCTTCTCCTCAACCTCCTCACTGTCCGAATCTGCTGCCAGCTCTGCTGGCCACTAGTGGGCCACCACAGGGGGGAATTAGGGTTAGGGCCATGCACTTAAGACTATAAAGTCTCTCTCAGTGTCGAGATTGTTAACTACAGTACTATTATTCCCCATGCAGTTCAGTGCGACTAAAGGAGGCAAAACAATAGATTTTTAATGCCAAAATACAGAACTTACCCAACTCTTTCTTTTCCGCTGACCACAGCACGCTTTCTCCTTGCTTTCCCGTAGCCTCCGGTGGTTATTAATGCTGGGACTGAATACATGAAGGGGAAGAAGGGAAAAAAACCACAACAACCAGTCATTGAAAACTGCACCCTCAAACTCATTTACATCAGCAGAATAATGAAAGACTGGGAGGCTCATGGAGTTTAATGCCTTGTTGTTGTTTGCAAGTGGGAAACCAAAGGCACATTTTCTCCCACAATTCCAGATCACAAATAATGATTCATCAGCTGCAGAATTGGGAAATCTTCATCCCATTTCTTTCTTGTTGGAACAGGCCTACCTATTATCACTGTAGAAGGAAGGAAGCTATTTTAATAACCCACCATAGTTCGGTAGCAAGAAATGCAATACCTTTGAATTGATCGCCATAAATTTTATTTGGGTCTCAACCGTGTTTTGTTTTTTAAGGAAAAAATAGCTAACCGTAACTAATTAAACTTTTTAACCCAGACTAACAACACAGAAAAACAACTATTTTTATTTTTTCTAATATAGCCGTGCCTATTTGGACCAGCTAAGGAACAGCACAGCTTTCACTTGCGCCAATTCTTCCGTAGAAGACCCATTTGTTCTTCTTCCTGAGCTAGAGTGTCATGTCATGGATTCTGCTGATATAGAGCTACAATTGCCCATCCATTTTCCTAGGGCCGTGATGGCGTACCTAATGGCATGTACGCCAGAGGTGGCACACAGTGCCCTCTCTGTGGGTACGCAACCCGTCGCCCCAGTACAGCTCCACCATGCATGCACGTGTGCCTCCCGTCAGCCAGCTCGTCTGCCGAACATGTACAGTGAGTGGGGGGGCAGGGGGGGAAGTGCGCATGTGGGGGGGCATGCATGCATGTGCAGGAGGAACTCATGCATGTGCATGTGTGAGGCACAGGCAGGGGGCCACACGCACATGTGCAGGAGTGCACGTGGTGGGCGGCACACACATTACATTTTGGGTTCGGGTGTGCGCAGACACATTCGCGATTTTGGCAGTGGGTCCAGAAAAGGTTAGCCATCACTCTCCTAGGGGATCTCCATATTCACTGATGCTTTAGAAGCCAATTCAAGGTTTTATGATACCTTGATACAAGTATTTCCATATGCCTGAGATGAGGAGCCTCTGCTCCCCCCGTTCTTGCAGAACTATAATTCCTAACAGTCCTGAACTGCAAGGACAAATATGTGAGGCATGGAACCATCAAAATCTAAAGAGGCATTCTGTTTTGAGCATATGTCATTGGCCCAACGTATCTTGCAGAAAATACTCTTGATGTTGATTTTGGACCAAATCCGAGTATGGATCTATATTGGGGGTGTCAAACTCAAAGCCTGCAGGCTGCATCCAGCCTGTGGGGTGTTTAGATCAGGCCCACAGGGCAGACCTGGAAAAAGCAAAGGACCAGCCTGTGGTGCCTCTGTCAGTGAAAACAGAGCTCGGGAGGCTGTGATGGCTTCTTGCAACCCTCTGCCAGCGAAAACGGAGCTGGGGAGGGCAGCCCTCCCAAGCTCCCTTTTCGCTGGCAGAGAGTTGCAGGAAGCCATCCCAGCCTCCTGAGCTCCATTTTCACTGACAGAACGCTCAGGCCAACACAGGCCCAACACAAGTGGCATTGAGATGGCCACACCCACCCTGGCCACGCCTACCTGGTCCCCAAGTTCAAACACAACTCTGATGTGGCCCTCAATGAAATCGGGTTTGACACCCCTGATCTATATCCTTATTATCATAAATCATTATCTGGAGAAATCAGGCAGGCAGTAACCTTCTCCTTTCACAAGAACAGTGGACCTGCTAAACTAGTTTATCCCTTAAGAGTTTTATGGAGCCCAACGGACTCCACAACAGTTGAGAACTCTAAAATCCATCCTGTTCCTTGGTTCATCAAAGAACTGGAGGTGATAAAATAAACAGGACATTGTTCAAATGCAGATGGAAATGATGCTTCATTGTGATTACAAGGAAACAGGCATAAGGGTACAATAGCGTTCCTACTTTGGCTAATTAATTCGTGTCAATAGAACAGCCATCGCTTTCTCAGCATACCTTCTAAAATGCTAGAATAGATCATAAAAATATGTATGAGTTGGAAATGTTCCATTAATCATCTAGTCCAACGCCCTCCTCTTCATACCAGAACGCAATGAATCATCTTCGGCAGGTAATCATTTAACCTCCTTGAAAACCTCCAATGGGGAGAAACCAGGGCTGCTCTAGATAAATCATTCCACTGCTTAACAGCTCTTAACCACTAATAAATTATTTCTGATAGTCAGCCAGTATCTCCTTTCTTTTAATTCTTGTTCTTTGTCCTTGTCCTATTCTTGGTTTCAGCAGAGGTCTGATCACTCTTGCGTGAATAACCTTCCAAGATACTGTACTTAGTGCAGAGCAACAGCTTCACTATTCCCAGCAACTCTTGATTGGATTCTGCCTGATTTGTTCCTAAGCTTGGTACGAAAGGGATCCATCTACCTGGAGGTTCTTTCTACCTGATCATAGCGGCCTTTCACAATAATTATGCTGATTCTTGCAGGGCCCAGTTGCCTTTTGCTGGAAACTAAAGGTTAAAGCGAGAACAAAATTACATTTAATATTGCTATTTTTATGCACATGGGAAAGTCTTGCAATAACATCATGGAAGGTAAGTTCCAATTAAAGTAATTATAGAGCAGGGACTACAGCACAGACGGAGTCCAAGTCATGTAAGAATCCAGATTTGCCTATCGCCTCTTCCTTATTCCTTCACAGAAATGGTCCATGTAACATTCCAGCTAACAGTCTCTGTGCTTAGCAGAATCAGACCCATCTCTCAAACTGACATTTAGTATTATGCAATTATAAAAATAAGGGCCATCATAAATATTCCAAAAAGATTTGCAGTGTGGTTAAAAGGTACTTAAAGGAGGATTTGAACTGCCTTCCCCCACTTACGAATAGAGTCCTTGCACAATGTTCCTTGCTGAGTCCAATACTCCAGACAGCCAGCCTTCTCTTCAAGAGGGGGGCAAGCTTCTCCACCGTTTCTGGGCTCCTGGATCACCTGTCGCCTTCGGAGGCGGTAAGCTGCCTTGCAGCGTTCAGCACACCCACTCCATTCACTCCAGGCAGAGACCAGGCAGGAAACCTCTGCAGAAAGAATAAGATGTTACTTCTAAAAGCTGGGTGTTCTACCCAGCTCCTCAAACACAACAGATGTTTGTTTAGATGTTTAGATGTTTATTAACATTTATAGGCCGCCCTTTTCCCTGAGGGGACTCAGGGCGGCTCACATAAAATCAGGGAGGGG